GTCACGGGTACGAACTTGCTCATGTCTGCTTTATCTGTGAGATATCCGTGTTATACTTAAGACTGTGCATGCTGCAGTGACACTGAGGAAGGAAATGAAGGGGGCGTGGCCAGACATACGTGTTTTGCACGCACAGACGTTCCCAGCTTTATCTGTTTGGCAGCACGGAGAAGAGAAGCTAAGATGCATCAGAGAAAGATGTATTGATGCTCTGCTCTGAACTGAGACACCAGGCTGTTAAGGTTCGCATTAAGATAGGATACAAAAGAGGCTAAACGGAAGGACGTATAACGAGAACGGACAGGATTGATCAGAAGAGTGTCTCCTCGCTGTCAGGAACACAGAACGCAGAGAGACACAGATCCTGAGCAGGTACACACCCAAAGGTCACCATGTGCAGAGGCCACGGTCTCATCATTACAGAGATGCAGACAGAAATACACCTCCTCCTCCGGCGTGATACGACTCCCACAGGTGCATTACACGAGCTTCTCAGTGAAGTGACACAACCACGCTCCCAACAACGTATATAACTAACAACCTCCTGACCGACAGTCCACAAAATCAACAAATGAATCCGTCTACTATTATTAAGTTATTACTGGTATTGCTATCGTTGTTTTCGTTACTGTTGTTATTTGATAATTTGGCAATATGGAACAGTCACGTTAAGAAAGCTACGCAAACGTGCGTCGGTCTGGGAAAACCCATCGGATGTGGCTCAATTCAGGAAAACAGCAGAAAGTGACGAAGAATCAGGTTTTGACCAAAACTGACTACTTTGACATCTCCACTTTAAGAAACCATAAATATATGTGATTTACCCAAACATTAGACAGTAGAAATGTTTTTTTCTGGAGTTCTGCTCTAACAGTGTCTTGGCGTCTTCCTGCAGAGATCATGATGTCAGGGGTCAGTTTAACAAACACAGTCTGCATGAAGACGTGTAAAACCTCGTGAGCCGTGTGATTACACGCTGCAGTGAAACAGACCTCAGTCTAATCAGTTCAGTCAGTAATCAGATCTCGGCTGTCAAAATGGCCGCCGTGCTCCTGCTCCGTCACTTCATGCTGGAAATTTACTTCTCTAGAATTTTGCAGATTTCACAATCATATATATATATATATATATATATATATATATATATATATAATAGCAAAATAATTCACTTTATGGAAGGTTTTCTCAAACCAACACACACATATTTGAGAGGGGGGGAGAGAGCTGTGTTTAAATATAAATAGCACTTTTTGTGTCTGTGCTATAATTATTCTATATTTGGCTCTTTATGAGTAAGTCAGAGTGTGTGTGTGTGTGTGTGTGTTGTTTGTTTGGGTGGTTGTTGAGGTCTCGGAGTGGGAGGAGCCAGCTGTGACTAAGCCGACTGAAACCATGGTAATCTTAACCTAATTGCCTCCTCCCACAACACACACACAGTGGGGATCAGGTTGTCGGGAAGTGTGTTAATGCCACGCTGGATTTCTGTTCTACATTTAACACTCCATGTGGCCTGGGATTAAATAAACACAAAGAGTGAGAACACACACACACACACACACCACAATGTGAAGCTCTAGGCAGCCCATAAAGGGGATAGGGAACAGTCAGAGGGCACGTATGTGTGCACTTCATGACTGAAGTTGTGTAAATAAGTGAGGAAATTTAGTTCCAGACAGCACAGTGTGTAGTGGTGTGTGTCTGTGTGTTTGTGTAGTGGTGTGTGTAGCGCTGTGTATCGGTGTGTGTGTAGCGCTGTGTATTGGCGTGTGTGTGTGTCAGCGTTTATGATGCTGTCAGAATTGGTTTTAAAGAGCATCACATGTTCATAATAATAAAGCGTTTCTCACACAGCAGACTATAAAGTGCAGAATTCCCTTCTCAGCACACTTTCTCATAAAGAAGGGGGAAAATCACCTGTGTCTCTCGCTCGGCAACCGTAGTCACAGCAACGAGCAACAGCAGGGGAATGCACAGTAGGGGTCAACAGTGCGACTATTTCACCACACCGGGTTCACTGCACAACTACATCAAAATACCTGATTTGGTTTGGAAAAATCACCTACTGGCAAAGTTCTCAATTTTTAGACACACAGCTGTTCCTTCATTTTAAACCACATGGGATTCTGTGACACTCTCTAAGACTGTGTGATTCCTTGGGAATCTGAGACTCTGTGAGACTCTCTGGGACTCTGTGAGACTCTCTGGGACTCTCTGGGACTCTGAAACTCTGTGAGACTCTCTGGGTCTCTGTGAGACTCTGTGAGACTCTCTGGG